CTAGGGAACAGGAGCAGCAGGGGTGGGGAGGGGAGGTGTGACTAGAACAGGAGCAGCAGGGGTGGGGAGGGGAGGTGCAGCTGCTCTTTGAGAGGTTTCTAGAGAACTGGAGGTTGCTGTAGGATCGAAGCAGCTCTGTCAAACTGGCCGTCGTCAAGGGCTTTGAACTGACAGCACACGTTTGAAGTTCCTTTGGATATGGTGGTTTTTACACACTGCACTTTGAGATCAGTACCTTTTAATTGTTTGAGTTTATGCTGACATTTTCCCAGTCTTGTGGGGTGCCTGTAGTCGGCATCAGCTGCATTCTGGGGCAGGCAGTCTCTGTCCTCATGCTGCCCTAGGAAGTGGGGGTGGAGGGCTCACTCAGCATGATAGAGTAATGAGAGCCGGTTGCACGGTTTAGGAAAGGACTTAGTTTAACACCCTGAGGCGCTTCATTCAGCCTGGTTAAAAGACAAGAAAGTCTGTGTGACTCCTTTTCCTTGGTGGACTTGAAACCAGCAAGTTGCAAGGTTTGTACAGCTCTTCAGGATGACTACTGAAGAATCTTGTATTTGGGGGCGGGGGTGGGGAGAGGCAACTAAGGATATTTATTGAGTATCTGTTATATCTGGCCCTTTATGTCTCTTACATTATTAGTCCTCCCAATGGACCTTTGAGATTCCTTCCCTGTAAACTGTGGGTTTTAGAGCGTTTATCTTGGAGAGTGACTTTGCAGATTATGTGATCTAACTCCCTTCAGCACTTAAGATTGTTCCTATGGTATCAACTAATGATATCCAAAAAGGATAATAGATCTGCTTATGGCCATTCACATAAGCAGTTGGCTGAAACAAAATGTAGCCGGCTTATGTGGTTTACCAGCTCTTGCATTTTCTGTAAGACTAAAGCATGCCGCCTCCTGTGAGAATGATGGGAATTTATAGTAACCAAAGGAAAGGAACCTAGCCATAGGTGTCACCAGGAAGCTGTTTAAATGAGCCGATGGCATTTGAAAGAGGAAATATGGAAGCGATTTGCGTATGCAAAAACTTACTGGTGGTTTAATTGTGAGGACTCAATGAGGAGGAAAGGTCCAAGACTACATAGGTGCCCTTGCTATAAACCAATAGTCTCCAAATGGTCAGAATTAGGTGGCACTTCGAGGAGTATGGATCCCTAGGCTGCCTTCTCCAGTGGTTGATTGAGTAGAAAGTTTGAAGGATCTGTTTTTGTTACTGTGCTTTTGAAAGTCAGTGACCCTAATTGATTCTAACGCAACACATGGCTTTAGCATCTCGTGGTTGCAGGCTCTGGCTTGTTAGTAAACTGGAAGTTGGTGCTGTTATCCTGGTTCTTCACAAGTGATGGGAACTGTGCCATTGAGACCTGGAAAGACAGCTTTCTTTCTAATGCATGCTCGCCTTGCTGTCCATTTCATCTTTTCCAGAATAGGGGTATTAAAAGGGGATGGGTTAGGGCATGCTTAAGACCACTTAGGAGTGTCTAGTTAGTGATGTGGAAGTCATGGGAGGCATGTAAAGTGGACTGTTGATATCCTGTGTAGGAGCTAGAAGAGGAAGTCCAGTGAGCCCCCAGAATTAGAGAAATCCAAAGAAGACCTACATGTGTTACCTTAGGGCTAGAGAAATGTGATTAAGCATGACTTTAATGTGATTATAGTTGGGATAAGCTGAGAGATTCTGGAATTGAAAACGGTAGTCTTAGCTGTGGTGTGGAAAGAGGGGTATGCCTGTGACTACACAGAGAAGATGCAGGAGAGGGGAGCAGGAACACGCGGTTCACAGGTGTCTGAACTTTGCGGAATGGTATCAAGAACACTGAGCTCCACATCGTGTCAGGTTATCCAGAGAGAGAGTTGAAGATAAAGTATCCCACCATCTGGAGGGAAGTTACAGTGGATGAGGGGGTACTGTGCTTACTTGAAGTCGATGGCATAACGGGACTAGAAAAAGCTCTGTTTTCACTTTTGTTTACCTTAAGTTCTTTTCCGTCCCTAAGAATAATGCACTCAAGCAATAAAGGAAAGAACAATTGTGACCAAGCAAAACATGAATATATTTAGAAATCCTGCACACAAGTTTGTGGGCGGTGATGGAGCTGAGGACTGATGTTCCGAACTGCGGATGTGTGAGAAGAAGGGACTGAGTATTTCCATGCAGCTGGGCTCCAGAGTCGCGCCTGATGGGGCCCAGAAGATACTGTGGAACAGGTCTCCGGGGTTGAAGTGCTGGGCAAGTGTTTGTAGGATGTCAACTGTTACATTGGCTGCTACTCTTTAGCACATCTTACTTTAAAAAGTTCATTGGCGCTGGGTGGTGGTGGTGCACGCCTTTAATCCCTACACTCGGGAAGCAGAGGCAGGCGGATCTCTGTGAGTTCGAGGCCAGCCTGGGCTACAGAGTGAGATCCAGGACAGGCTCCAAAACTACACAGAGAAACCCTGTCTCAAAAAACAAACAAACAAAAAAATCCATTGGCACCTGAAAAGATTAGGGAGGGTGTGTAAGCTTCAAAGGGTGAATACAGGATGGGAAAGATCTCTTGGATATGGGTTTAGAGCTGACAGTTCGTGTGTGTGTGTGTGTGTGTGTGTGTGTGTGTGTGTGTGTGTGTGGTCATTTTTCTCCACTGAGAATGGGTTGTATATGTTAAGGAGGGACCCAAAGCAACTGGTGCCAACCTGCAAAGGAAAGGCTGCAAACCTAGTAAGTACCAGCCAGCCAGTGAGCAAGCAGTCCAATCACCTGGTTCCTCTTCTGCCTGCTTTTACCTGAGTGAAGGTCAGAAGAACGGTCTGAAGATGGCAGTGTCGCCTGAGGACTGAATTGACACATTTGGACTAGATATGTTTAGATGACGGAGAGAGCTGGTGGCTGAGTGTCAGGACCCTTGAGTATTACCGAATTCATCAGTAATAGCCTGCAGGGGAAAAGCTACTGCCCTGGGTGCTGTCCTTGGTTCTGACCCATTTCATAGGTTTGTTCTCAGAAAGACAATCGAATCTGCTCATTATGCAGGTCTGCCGAAGAATACTCCCATTTCTGGATGCTAGAAACCCAAATTCTAGAGACTGAAGTGGCTGGGCCCTATGGAACTTTGGGAGCCGGATTATACTGAAGCTCAACATAAAGTGCTGCTGCCCCCTCCCACCAGTGGTCAAATGCAGAGTTAAGGGGAATTGTTTTTATGGCAACTGGGGAGAAGGGCGTAAGATTTTAACTTGCTGTTTTACTTCTTTCTAATAGGATTTATTGTTTTAATAGATATTCATAATCTAGACTACTTCAGCGTCTGCGACAGCAATAGAGAACATTGGTTATTACAAAGCTAAGTACTTTGAGGTGCTACATGTCAGAAAATCTGGGACATGAATTTTATTCTGCACCTGCCTATAAGACTCTCACTAAACTAAACTAATACATATTCTAGGAACATTTTCAGATATCTCTGATACCTTAAATTTTCATATGTATTTTTACATGTGACTAAATCTAGAATAATTTAATAAGAATTATTTAAATTGCCAAGTATACTTATTTACATCAAAGTATGCATACTGTTACAGCTCAAACTACCACTAAATAGAAGTGGTATATAAGAAAAAAAAAGATTTTTAACCCTGCAGCCACCTCAGGAATCTGTTGTGATATGGCCATTGGGGAAGGAGGTCAGTCTTTGATGACACCATTACTCTAAGGGAATTCAAGTAGACAGGATAGCAGTGGTGCCACGTAGCTTTGATTATCAGGGTGGAGCGTGGGTCTTAGATCTAGTCCAGAATAGAATTATTATATGAAGGGCTTCAAAATTCCTTGTCATCCTGAGACATGCAGGCAACCTCAGTTTGTAAAGCAAGCCTTCCCCCTCCTCCTTCCTCCAACTGAAATATCAGGCATGGGCCACCACCACATCTGGCCTGGAAAGAATTCCTTATGTATCACCTTGTGTTTGTTACTTTGGGAATTGAGGCAATGGAAGACCAGTGCTCACCTGCCCCTGGCTGTTAACACTAAGCTTAGTGCTGCTGAGCTTGAAAAAGAGAACATCACCCCCAGGGATGCTGTCTTACTTGGAAATCTTTTCATCAGCCGGCTTTCAGGTATTGTGCCAAAGGGTGAACGCTGCCGCCGCCAGCATTCAATAGGAAACCAAGGCACAAGGATGTTTCAGGGTTTGGTTTGTGTCGGCACAGTGTACACATAGTACACAGTGAACTTAGGACATGGAATTCGAATGTTCCAGGCTCGGGGATGAGTTGTACTTCCTATAGCTCCAGAGGATACAAGAAGGAATATAACAGGTGGTAACAGTGCTCCGCACAGTGATCTCCATGGTAAAGCCTGGATCTTGCATGAATCTCTTTGCAAGGACCCTTGTATTGTGCGAGTTTATCTTACTTATATTTTTGGTGTGTGTGCGTGCGTGCGTGCGTGCGTGCGTGCGTGCGTGCGTGCGTGTGTCACAGCACTCCTGTGGTGGTCAGAGGACAACTTTTGGGAGTTGGTTTTCTCCTATTGTGGGTTCTTCAGGTCAGCAGACTCAGTGGACTCTTGTGGCTCACCCTTCTGTGTCTTGTTTAGCTCAGTCCAAAATCCTAAAGTGAGTAAGCACATGGCTGTTGTTTTGAGGGCTCTTTCCCATCTGCTCAGAACAGGAAGTAGTTGTCCATCAGAGGGAGATGAGAAGATGATGTGAGCAGTTGTTTCGTCCACTGCCTGAACAAATGGGCCAGCCTCACCCTTTGGTCCCTGGAGCTATCAAGGATTCACAGTGGAGTGTGGTTTATTGTAATAGACAGTGACTATAAGCAACAAGCACAGGTTTTGAAGCAAGACATCTTGACTTCCTGTCGTGGCTTCAGAGCACAGCCTGAGAGTTTTCCTTTTGTGCCTCAGCTGTAACTTTGGAGAAGCATTGGCTTGTGAGGCTTTGGCAGGAAAATGGGGAAGAAAGGAAGAAAGAGTCTCACCGTGTCGAGAAAGACAGAGCTGTCCCAGGGCAGCTGCTACACTAAGAGCAGCTGCTGTCGGCTGCACCTGTTGACAAGCTTGTCCATGCCTTGCTCCTGGCTGTTTGACCTGCCTCCCGCCTCAGGGTTTACTCATTCTTACTTGAAGGGAAGGGCTGCTCTGTGTCCTCTGCCCTACCCATTCTTTTCATTGCTTTTCTGTTTTGTAGAGCAAGGCTTAGATCACATAGCAGAAAACATTCTTTCCTACCTGGATGCCAGGTCTCTGTGTGCAGCAGAGCTGGTGTGTAAAGAATGGCAGCGAGTGATCTCAGAAGGCATGCTTTGGAAGAAGCTGATTGAGAGGATGGTGCGCACTGACCCTCTCTGGAAGGGCCTCTCAGAGAGAAGAGGGTGGTAAGTATGGGTGCTTGGTTGGAAAAAATTCCCTTGGTGGACAGTCAGCTCGATTACTCAAGGCAATTCTGTTTGTGAATGTGTCGGTCTACTTAAACAAGGAGGAAAATGACTAGTCAAGAGAATTAAAAGCTGTTAGAATTCCCCCTTCTGACATGTATGCATTTGTTATTATAAAGTTTTGAATACCTCAGATGGGTGAGTCATTCATCTTTTTAAAGCTGTGAAATTACACTTTTTCAAAACTTAGGCAATGATCCCATCACAAAAAGATAAGAAAAAAAAAAGTGAGAGTTGGAGCCGGAGAGATGGCTCAGTGGTTGAGAACACTCACTGCCCATGCAGAGGACCTGGGTTCAACTCCCAGCACCTACTTGGCAGCTCACAACTGTCTGGTGCTCCATTTCCAGAGGATCTGATACCCTCTTCTGGCCTCCATGGGCACCAGGCACACGTGTGGTGCACAGACATACGTGCAACCAAAACCCCCATACATGAAACTGTTTTTAAAGGAAAATATGAGAGTCAAGTAATGTTATTTGCTGTAATTGCTGGGGATTAATTCATGAACCTCGGGCTCATTCATGGTGGGCAGCTGCTCTACCACTGAGCTGTACCACCAGCCTGAGTCGTGTCATTTCACTATTTCACTGCTCCTGGGGAAGAATGGAAATACAGCCATAGGTGTTTCCAAGAAAGCCTGTGAGCTTCAATACAGCTCGATAGTTCTGTGTATTGTCAGTGCCCTGGCTCCGTCAGCGCAGAGAAGGAGCTGCAGACAGGCACAGGACTGAGAAGAGTGGGGGTGGGGGGGGTGGGGAGTTGCATTTTCTTTATGGGAGGAAGTTTCATGTGGACTAGGACTTCTCCTGAGCTTCATCAGCACTTACTGTGCACGTGGGTGCAGTAGCACACGGGGAAGAGAGAGCACGGAGAGCTAAGTTTTAGGACCGAGGAAAGACTGAATGTGGCTAACGGGCATGAGCAGTGCCAAAGGATAGCAGGCTGACGGTGTCCTTGATCTGACTTTGGCATGGAGTTTTCGGTTTTTTATAGTAGATAAGAGCACAAAAATATATTTGATAGTGAAAGTGTAAAATCCAGTGTGAAGGTCCACAGCTTCAGAATGCCTATTGTAATTTTTTAAAAGCTCATTAAGATGTATGTATAGACTTTGCAACTAGTTAATTTCAGTGTGTCCTGTTTTTTATTTGCAAGATTTTACTAATAAAATTTATAAGCGGGGGAGGGGGACAGCCTAGAACGAAAGCTTAATTATTTGTGTGACGGTATCAGAAAACAAAAGACCAGCATCATGCCAGAACTAAATTGTCTCTACCATGGAAACTGCAGTTTGTCAGAAATCCTGCTTTTGAACTGTTAACATTCAGTGCAAGGGAAGACATGAAACATGGGGCTGTCCTTGTAAGCATGCTTAAATAAAATCTGCTCTTTTATGTGCACAAATGTAACATCTGTTTGTTTTCATTGCCAGGGATCAGTACCTGTTTAAAAACAGACCTACAGATGGCCCTCCCAATTCATTTTATAGATCACTATACCCAAAGATTATCCAGGACATAGAGGTAACTGTTTCACTTAATTGTTTTGCATCCTTTGGGGTCTTGTTCTCAACTTTTTATATTGTTTTAAAGGTCCTTTTGTTCTAAACTCATGGAACTCATATTTTTTTTTAAAAGTTGAGCGTTGGAAATAAATGTTACAGTGTGTAATCTGTGGCTCTTCTTCAGAGCTGATCATGCCTTTTTATAGAAATACAACTTTTCAAAAACATGAAATGCTTCTCTGAGGCTGCCAGTTAATTAAAACCTTAATCCGAGATAAACTGTATCTAATTGACAAGTTGTCCGCACTCCTCCCAGGCCCACTGCTGACGTGAACTCACTGTTATGTTGAGCCGTCCTCGTAGACGGCGTGCTTGCAGTCGCTCTCAGAGTCGTGCATGGGTTTTCATGAAGACGCCTCAGGCTGTTGTGAGCTGTGTGAGGGGGCCTTGTCAGGCAGGCTCTGCTTTGGGGCCGCTGTGGAGTTGAGTGTGTGTCAGTGGCCAGCGGAGATCTGTGCACGTGCTGAGGAGAGACATTAGCGGGGTCTGATACTGTTGGCGTGCTCCAGGTCCGTTTTATTCCTTAGCCCTTTCCCTTGAACCAGGAAGGACATGCACAGGCAGTTCTCATTACTCTTTCACATGTGTTCTCCCTGTTCTTGGTTACTTCACCGTTTCCTCTTTGGTAGAAAAGTTTAGCTTTTATCGGGCAGTGCCGCATCTCCCATAAAGTTACAGCTGGTCTCCAAAATGTGAAGTAATCCTCTCCCCCAGGTGATGAACATAAAAATTATTGTGCCAAAGTTAGTTAATGGAGAAGCATGTGCCTTTGTAGAGTTCATCCTCTGCCCCTTCTCAGGCAGATGTGAACCAATGGATCCATCCCATTAATGGTGCATCTGCATGTGACAGGATATCATCATTTAAAAGAGAAACTTTTGTCTGAAGTGCATGCTCTCTAAAATGACCAAAAAACTAACCTTTTAGGGGAGGGCTCAATAATTTAAAGCCACTGCCAGATAAAGTTTAGGAATTGATTGACCTATTGTTCCAAACGTGGACTAATGTCCTGCAGTGCTCAGCGGACTGCCATCATAGGTTAGTGTTTTTGCATTTCAGGAGGGAAGGGCTGCTCAGGGTAGGTGTACCAGACATCTCGGAAATGCCTTTCTGCTCTTTTGGGTGGCGGGGGAGGCTGTTGATAGAAGAAACTCTCCAACTTTTCTTGAGTGGTCCCAAGAAGGCATTCTTTGTGAGGGGATGCTGTTTAAAGCCAGTTATTAACAAACAGACTCCAGAGAACCTTTATCAGATTGAGGTTTGGTGATGGAGATTATTTTATTTAGTTGCCACGACTACCGTTATAATTGACAGCATGACAGCAGTTACCACCCCATTTCCTCAGACTGAAATCATACTTTAGAGCTAACAGAGAAGGCAGATGTGATGGGAAATGGAGCCATTGAGGAAACACTGTTTGACACAAAACCTCTGCATCATGGTGGTCTTCCCAGTGGTTCTTAAAGTGTGGTTTAGGAAAACCCACTGCCCAGCCACAAGAGTCTCCTCCAGATTTTTGTGGCTAAATTTCTTAGTATGAAGGATGACGCTTATACTTTGGTGTACTCACTAATAGTAATAGTGACAGAGGCAGTGTACCACTAATAAGGCACTTACTTTGTTTAGCAGTTTATAGCATATTTTCTCATTAGATAGCCTAGACAGCCTTAAAAGTAGGTCAAGTCTATACTGAAAATGTAAGAAAGAAGGGCTGACAAGGTAAACTCTCCCTGGCTTACAGTGAGTGGTTCAGTCCACAGCCATCCACATACGTTGACACACACGGTAAGTAGGGAGTCCACAGCCAACCTCGTATTCCCTGGCCCTTCATGTATTTTCCGTCAGGGCAGACATACAGACTCATATATAGAAGGTCTTCCCTCTTGGGATCCATAGATCATAGTGTGAGGCACACGAACGAGCTTGGCCTTGTCCACATGACTGCTGGGAAAGCGTCACCTGCAAGGTGACACCATGATTGTCACCTCTGTAGTCGACCATGACTGTGCTAGGGGGTTTACATAGATAATTGGAATAATTTTACAATGCCCAAGCCATTTCCCTCTCTGTATAAAGGAACACAGACTGGAAGAAGCTTTAGAACGTGTTACATAGGAGAGGTAGGCTTTTAGCTGAAGTCTGTCTAGCCCTAGGCTCACAGTTAGCTTTTTGCTGTTTCCAAAGTGGAAATTTCAGGAAGTGAAGGAGAAGGGCATGTTTTATTCCTGCAGACTTCCATCTTCCTCTGAGTGTGTGGATACTCAGTTCTCAGTTCCTTGACTGTTGGATTAGGAATTAGATGAGAGTCATTGGCCTTGCTTCAGTTCTGTTAGGGAAAAGGTAGTGATGAAAGGTTCTTAAGCACACTGTCCAAAGGTAGGAGATGTCAGGCAAGTGTCACGGCTCCCTCGCCCTCACACAGTCCGTCCTTTCCCCTTCCACTCCACAGATCAGGCACTTCTGGGACAGCACTCTGGTTTCCCCTCTTCTTTATTTTAACAGCTTGCCAACCCCCGAAATACTTCCATTCTCAGCTTGATGAGCACAGAGGAAAAATGTTCCTCTCTGAACTTTGCCTTCCACATCTAGTCACCAGAAATTGGCTATATTTTAAGGAAAAATAGACAACCTGGCTTTGTGTGGCTAGCTCCTGCTGTTGAGAAAATGGGGAAGTGAGAATCAGAGCCTGTGGAGAATAGTTCACATTCTTCCCTTTCTGCAAAGGTTCCCCTCTCCTGGGTGTTCTTGCCACACAGAGGGTTTATGGGGCCTCTAAATTGAGAAGGAACTCATGGTCAACCTGAGGCTTGTCCTGCCAAGAGGCAGTCACACCCCCCCCCCACCCCCGTCCTTGTCCAGAGTCCATGCCAGTCTGTTTTCAGGGTGGCTCAAGGTGCACTGCAAGGCACTTGGGAAGAATGGTTGGTTGAGCTGAGCTCCCAGAACTGGGGTCCTGACTCCCCATCCCCTCCACCCCGCACTCCAAACGCTTTTTGCAGGCAGATGGCGGTCACTCTTACAGTCCAACATGTTAATGCCCTGAACTTGGATTTGTCTTTTCTACCATTTCAGAGTAGTGACTCTTTATATTTACCAGGTAAGTAAGTGGCTTTGGAGCACTCTTCTTGGAGCTGGCCATGGGAAATGACGGTGTGTTGTATCACACCTTTTAATAAACCGCATTTCATTCAGAGAAAGCGGAAAACTTTTTTTGTGGTTTGCAAACTTGATATTAACATTGTCCTGACTAGAAAATGCTGAAACTTGCCCACCCACCCAGTTATGTTTAGGCTTCTAAAAATAATGTTATTCCTCCATACTCAGACATCTGTTTTCACTCTATTGCCAATTTAAATGCCGCTGTGTACTCTGTATATCATGGCTACTTTCCCAGTATTTTGAAATTTTGCGCAGGGTAAGGGGATTTTACAAGTTCTCTAACACATGAAACTCTCTTCTACGGTAGCTGTACCACAGGATGGCTCATGGCATGGCAGGTATTGGAGAGGACACCTGTGTGACCGGCTTTATTGCTGCTGAACTCAGATAATAGCTGAGTTCCATCTGAGGCCTGAGCACCTTGCTGGGCCCACTATGAAATGTAGGCTACCAGCAACAAACAGCAGCCTAGACCAGCACTATACTTCCTCCAATTTCGGGAGAACCCTCCCTTTTTAATTACAACTGTTTTTGGCAGTGTTCCCCATAGGCTGTGATGAGCACATCACATGTTTTAGTCTTACATGGCCCTTTGTTGTTGGGGAACAGATTCTATTGATCTGCTGCACAGAGGTGGAAGCCAGTGCTCAGTCAGTACCACGGGTCAAGGCTGTCTCTTGACTTGGGTCATTTCTACCACCAAGGGCTGCCAGGCTTGAAAGTCTAGTTTTTGTGAAAACCTGGTTGAGAAGAATTAAAAAGAAAGAAGTTGAGGTCGTCAGACATGGTGGCAGTGTTCTGGGTAGGCGTAATCACAAGCAAGTGCTGCTTTCATGTGTGGGTGGCCTGGAGAACTAAGGAGGGGCAGTCTCAGGAGTGCCCTTGGTGGCTACATGGCTGTCAGAGACTTCCTGTCGGGTTCCAGTAAGCTATACTTACCTTGGATTCAGGAACTTAAAAATTGAAAAACTTGCCCTAATGGGGGTCTCCCCAGAGTGACTCATCAAGAGTCTTCTGAGCTTTGCCTGAAAATTTAAAAGTGTCCTAGAAAGTTAGGAACATTGTGAGCATAGAGAAGACAGAAAATAGGGTGTCTGGTGGTGCATGTGTGAAGTCCTGTCCTCCGCAGTGAGGGTCAGGAGTAGATGGGACAGTTCAGCTTCAAGGCTTCGCCCAGGTGTTTGAGGAACGGATTCAGCCCTAGGTGACCATGTGGTGTCATCTTGGCTCCTCTCCCTCATCCCTGTCTGTGTCCTCCCTCAGTGTGTTAGATACAGTTCAACATTATAGCCACCTCTTCCCATTCTAGAAAATACCTTGAAGAGTAGTGAGAAAGTGTGTAAGAAGTCCTCTCATTTCCTCTGTTTGCATGAAAGGCACTTTTTTCCTTTAAACTCTCATGTGATGTAAATGTGCTTCATTATTCACTGAACTATAAAGTAAAGCCTGCTTTAGAGTCACACCACTATTTTATAGCCCAAAGGTAGCTGTGCAGTTTTTTTTAAATCAAGAAATTTTTTTATTCACTTCACCACCACCCCCTTCCCTCCTACAAGAAGGTAAGGCCTCCCATGGGGGAGTCAGCAGAGCCTGGTACATTCAGTAGAGGCATGTTCAAGTCCGTCCCGTGTTGTGTCCGTTCCCCCCTCCCCCCCTCAAGACTGTGCGAGGTGTCCCACCATAGGTAGTGGGCTCCAAAAAGCCCACTCATGCATTAGGGTAGGATCCTGATCCTACTGCCAGGGGTCCCCTTAAGCAGATCAAGCTACACAACTGTCTCGCTTATGCAGAGGACCTAGTCTAGTCCCGTGGAGACCATGCAGTTTTAAAACAGTGTCTGGTCTACATAGGACATGCTATGTATTCAGTGCTTTGGGTTCAAGTGGAGTCACACATTTCTATCCACTCTTGTGCCTCCATAAGGACGTCACCTGAACATGAGTAACTACCACCCAAAGTTATTGGCTAGGCTAGGAGTAGACTCCTTACTAGTATATCTGGCTTCCTAGATCAACATTTCCCTGCAGAAGTTAGCATGCTGAGGTGGCCAGTCATTATCCAAAAATACACTTATTTCTCTAGAAGCTTCTAAACATTTGGGCTTGTTTAAGCTTTTATACTTTGGACTCCTTTAAAAAGTTGCTCATAGAGATGAGTTGAGAGGTGGTTGAGGTCTTGAGAGGTGGTTGTTCAGTCGCGGGGGGAGTGAGTTAGTTTTCCTGGTTTTGACATTTTGCCAGCCACTAGAGATAATGCCCGGCCTAGGAAGTCCTGATGGTAGCAGGTGGACACAAGAGCTTTTCTACACTGCTATTGTCTCCGATTATTGAACGTGTGCTGTCCTTCTTTTTAGGACAAGGGTTCTTCTTGCTAAGTACAAGGGTCACACATCTGTGACCTTTGTGACGGACACTTGCCCTTTTAAGTACACATGTATTAATATATGTATTAGTAGCTCCAGTTCTCCATTTCTTTCTCTATAAAAACGTGGGCAGTGGCCAGGAGGTGGTGGCACACGCCTTTAATCCCAGCACTTGGGAGGCAGAGGCAGGTGGATCTCTGTGAGTTCAAGGCCAGCCAGGTCTACAGAGCGAGATCTAGGATAGCAGGGCTGTTATAGAGAAACCCTGTCTTGAAAACAATAAAAATCACCCCCAAAAACCTCCCAACATTTATATATCATTTATTGTTAATGGTCATCTAGAAATGATTTGAAGTATACAGGAAAACGTGCCTAGGTATGTGAAAATACGGCAAGGCAAGAGGGTTGAGAATTGAAGGCCTTGACTACATAGTGAGGAATACCTTTCTTTTTGGTTTTTTCGAGACAGGGTTTCTCTGCGTAGCTTTGCGCCTTTCCTGGAGCTCACTTGGTAGCCCAGGCTGGCCTCGAACTCACAGAGATCCGCCTGGCTCTGCCTCCCGAGTGCTGGGATTAAAGGCGTGCGCCACCACCGCCCGGCGAGGAATACCTTTCAAAAACAAAAAGCAAACATACACAAACAGAAATTATGCTCTTTTACATAGTTATGCTATTTTACAAAAATAGATTTTGGTATCTGTGCTGGATTGTAGAACCCCTCCCCTATGGATGGATACCCAGGGACGGCAATGTATAAAAATAGGACAGTGTTAGGAATGGTAGTGCCTGCCCTGAAACATTCAGTGAATGTTAGCATTTTAAAGAGTTCAGAAGAAAGCAATCTTCAAATTAAGAGGAAATGTAGCTTATTGGGTATCAAGAGAACCAGTAATTGGGCCTTTATTGTGAATGAAGGTGAGATTTTATCTTTTTCAGCACAGCAAGCAGTTATGCTTTAGCTACTCAGAAATCGTTTTTTCAAACTAGACTTGAAGTTGAGTGTGGATGGGTATTATTTCTGTTGTCGGCTGGCTTCAAAGGCTAAGAATCCAGACTGGCTAGACTGAGGAGAGGCTTAGGTCTTTTCATCTTGGGGAGTCCCTCCTAGCTGCTCCTTGAGCCTAGGCCTTCTGGTGGACACCCTCTACTTCTTCATTGAACTGGGCCAGGGTCTCAGGCCACGGTGCCTTTGGTGGCCCTCAGGTCCTGCAGCCAGAGTTTGTAGTACTTGTTGGTTGTGGACACTCCCCTGAATTGTTAGTGATGTATTTGTATTCTGTGTTCTCTGCCTGAGGACTATCCTTTAGACCAGTGAATATGTTCCTCTTAGGAACTGCTGATCAGAACGGGGTTTGATGTCTAAGTAGTCCAGTTACCATTTTTTTGTGGCCTTAGGCAGGTTAAACCGTTTCCTTATTTATAAAAGGAAAACAATGAGAAATACTACCAAGATTATTGGCATTTTTTTTAGCCAAATAAATTTAGTTCAGAGTGTAGATGTTCCTCAATGTACCATGAGGTTTCAGCTGATAAGCCCATGGTAAGTTGAAAGTAGTGTAGCTTGAAGTGAGTTTAACATATTTAAGCTGATTCAGTGACACATTGCACTGTGGGTTCCAGCTGTTCTCCTCTTGTGAGCTAGTGGCAGACTGTGGCTTGCTGCTGACATCCAGCATCCAAGTGTTTAGTCAGGGAGAGAAAGGGTCAAAATTCAAAGTACAGTTTCTGTTGAATGTATTGCCTTTGCATTACAAGGCCAAGGGGGGAAAAAAACCTAACCATTAAAAGTGAGGATCGTGTGTGTGTGTGTGTGTGTGTGTGTGTGTGTGTGTGTGTGTGTGTGTGTGTGTGTGATGTTGGTGTTGGTGTTGAGACAGGCAGGGTCTTGCTGTGTAGCTCAGGCCTTGAACTTGTTGACTTGTGCCTCATCTTCCCCAATTCTGAGATTCCAAGTGTTTCCTCTCATAGCTGGCTTGATGCCTCTAATGCAGCATGCGTCCTATTGACCTTTGACCCTCAGTTCTGGAATATGCTCATTAAACAGTGCATGACGATGAGAGGATTGGAACCCAGAGCTGAAGTTTTCCGTTTTTATTGTTGTTTTCCTTTGGTTTTTTGAGACAAGGTTTATCTGTATAGCACTGGCATCCTGGAACTCGCCTCCAACTCCGAGATCCCCCTGCCTCTGCCTTCCAAGTGCTGGGATTAAAGGCGTGCACCACCACCGCCTGGCAGTGTTCCCTTCTCATTTAATGGTTGCAGTCTGGCTGGAGCTTGAGGGTGACAGTGCTGACAGTCAGTTCTCTCTGTGCGGCATCGGCAGGTCCCGTACCACAGTCAGACAACTCTTAAGTTTGCCGTGTGGGTCGTGAGCATAGGACTGAGTAATGGGACAGTCTTCTGCCAAGGGTTTTTATTGGCATTAGGGAGTAACTCGGTGAGTTATTATTTCTTTGTATCTTAGGGGCCAATGATGTTCTTTAAACATACTGAATTCTGTCTAGTCCGTTTCAGATCTAACCCAGATCTCCCTGGAAATCCTGTGACAGCTGTCAGGCAGGCAGGGAGGGTTTCCAAAGAGGCATTATTGGTCAGTGTCTCACTAGGAAAAGAGCAAAATTAGGTGTCCGTGGTGTTCCTCTTCTGGAAGCAACACCAGAATGTGAAACCTAGCAGAGCAGTTCCCTCACAGAAGCCACCTCTCGCCTCCTCCTCCCCCAGACCATAGAATCGAATTGGCGGTGTGGACGACACAACTTGCAGAGGATCCAGTGCCGCTCGGAAAATAGTAAAGGTGTCTACTGTCTGCAGTACGATGACGACAAGATTATCAGTGGCCTCCGGGACAACTCCATCAAGGTGAGCTGCTGGTTCTGTGCGGGGCTGAAGTGCTGGTGTGTGGAGTCTCTGCTGCTCTGCATAGATAGGTTTGTTTCTGTTCTCAGCATCAGTAGCTCTCATGTTGCTGAAAAGCACCAGAAACAGCATTTCCTGGTCTCATCTTACTTCTCCCTGGCTCTGAGCACATTCACATTTGATGCTCTCTGTTTATGATATCCCCTCAGACTCCCTTGTCCTGCCCCCGGAGATCACCCTTTCTTACCCCTGTGCCCAGGAGTCCAGTGGTCTTCCCATCCACCTTCATCCATATATATGAGAAAGAGTTCCCCAACCTCCCCTCTCCTCCTTTCCCCTCCTTGGAAATGAGCAGGTGTCTACGGTGGTGATGGATAACTGCAGTTCATCCAGGGAGTGGGGTATTTTCAGCATTGAAAGGATTTGCTGTACAAGCCATAGAAAGCCATGGAGAGCTGTAAACGCCTGCTAAGTTAAAGAAGCAATGTTGAAAGGCTGCACGGTCCAGCAGGGTCGGGGTGGCGGTTTGGGAAAGAGAAGCTGTGGAGGTAGTGAAGAAGGGAGGAAACAGCTCAGGGTGTGGAAATGACTATCACTAGTGTTTACTTCCTTTTCATTTTCAGAAACAAGGATCATGTCACCACATAACCAATTTTTGTTTTGTTTCTTAAGTGCTTAACTTGTAATAAAACATTGTCTTTTCTTATTAAGAACTCTTGATAGTTTGTTTGGGGTTTTCAGGAAACAAACACTCCATTTTTTTAAAAAAATTTTGAAACTATCAGGTATGCATTTTGAAACGGACCTAGTAGAGGCTGTCATATTATTTACCAGAGGGTGAGCTGACTCTTCCCTGCTTTTATTAAAACCCCCTTATCGAGCTGCTGCTAAGTGAGTGCAGTAGCTAAGTGTTCCCATTAGCAGAGCTGTGTGTCTGCTCTGCGAGCCGGTTGGTGTTGTCCTAGTTCTGGTTCCTCTTGTTATTCCCTACCCGTTGGATACTCACCTTGCTTCCTGCACCCTGCATGTACTCTGCTGTGATTCAGAGTGCAGGGTACACGAGAACCTTTGTGTAAAATGCAGGCACTAAATTGTTGCTCTGGTTCATCTTGTCTCAATAGATCTGGGATAAAACCAGCCTGGAATGTTTGAAAGTGCTAACAGGACACACGGGCTCTGTCCTCTGCCTCCAGTATGACGAGCGAGTCATTGTAACTGGTTCTTCAGATTCGACAGTGAGGTGAGTGGTCTGGCTTCGTTCTCTGATCTCACGGCCATTCCTGAGGAGACAGAGATGCATACTGTTTTCAGGAATTTTTGCATGCATGCACGTTCATATGTGTGTGTATGTACACATACATTCACACCTGCTGCTCTGTACATATTTTTACTTGCTGTATCTCAAGACTTTTTGATGGAGACATGTTAAGCAAATAGTCCAGAAGGCTGAGTTTTTATAAAGGTGTCTTGTTCTTGCTGTGTTCTGTAGAGTTGGCAGTATATTCTCCTATAAAATCACACTGCTTTATATTAGCTTGCCTCCTGTTCTTAGGAGCCTGCCATCTAGAGCAGAGAGGAAAAAGTCAGTTGTTCTTGAGCGTGAGGGGTGCAGGAACTGAACGAATCAGGCAGTTTGTAGACCCTTGGGAAAGTGAGTTCTGGTGTCTGCTTGAGTTTCTTTTAGGTATTGCCTTTATCTCTGCAGGTATATTAGGAAACTGGGAGGGCACATGATTTTCTTGGAGTCATAGAACCAGTCCATTTTTGAACCTTGAGTTTGGGTCACTCCTGACTGTCTGTATAGCCTTTGCAATGGTGGAAGCTGAGTTCTCAGTTGCCATCCCGGGGCAGCGTGGAAGAGACATTGCAGAAGGAAGCGGTGACTGATAGTTGGGTATCAAGACTAGAAAGGCAATGTTACCGCGATCTGCCCTGTCCTGGGAAAGCACACCTCCTTCTACCTGACATGCAGTGAGGTGACAGAGTCCAGCAGAGCCAAAGAGCATCATACAGCGAAGGTTGAGGAGGGCTGGGGGGACTGGAGGGAATGAGGAGCGGAAAGGAGGGGCTAACCTCAGCTATCTCAGATGCTTGGGGAGAATTGCTTAGTCATAGGCACTTTGGAGGAGCTGGCTAGTTCTCGGTCCATCCCCGGGTTCTGTGATGTTCCCTTTGGGTTTCTTGTCCCGTATCCCACTGTCCGACTCTTTACTTAGCCCCACCCACAGCACAGCTACTGGCCGTGCCCTGGTGTGGCCTCCAGGCTGCTGTCTGGTCACTGCTCAGCCTTCAAGGCCGTCTTCTGCTCTGTCAGTGCATCCTTTAGGATGTTGGGGCTTTTTTTTGTTTTGCATGTTCAAGTGTCAGATAAAAAGAGATTTGATGAAACGCCCCAGCTTAGTTTGCAAATATAAGCAGTAGATTCTTCAACATGCCAGAGGCCAATGAAAGAAAACCTTAAGCTTGGGATCACCCTGGGCTCCTCATCCGTCCAACTCCTCCTGTTGTCTCAGACTCACTGAAAGCCTCCTGACTTGAGGGATGTCTTTGTCACCTGTACAAACCTGAAGACATCCCTGAGTTAATTACTTTGAGTGTGAGATAAACCTGAGCCCAGCCAGGGTTAGCTTCCTTCTTAAAGCATCTTAGCAGTTGTCAGCTTTAAGGAGGCTGCTGCCCAGGTTCTGCTGCATGCCGTGCGCCTGGGTACAGGGTTCTTCTGGCAGCAGTCTGGCAGAATATACTTGGGGTACGGGGGTTCTGCTGGTAGCATGCACTTGGTACACTAAGTGACACCGAACCCAGACCTCCCCTTTCCCTGGCTCTCCCTGTCACAACTCTCTGTTCTCTTCCAGAGTCTGGGATGTGAACACGGGTGAAGTGCTCAACACTCTGATCCATCACAATGAAGCTGTACTGCACTTACGCTTCAGCAACGGACTGATGGTGACTTGTTCCAAGGACCGGTCCATTGCCGTGTGGGACATGGCCTCGGCCACGGATATCACCTTACGCCGTGTCCTGGTTGGCCACCGTGCTGCTGTCAATGTAGTAGACTTTGATGATAAGTACATTGTGTCTGCCTCTGGAGACAGGACCATTAAAGTGAGTGTGTCTGCAGTCCTTACCCTGGCTCCTCCCATCCCTAAACGGCAGAGAATAGGCAGCGGTGGCTGGCACTGGGTGGCAAGGTCTCTTCTTTATGCATTCCCATGAGACCCTCCCATTTCACATGCTTGTGGAGCTACAGGCAAGACAAGAAGGAAAAAGTCATTGGTCCCAATAGAGAACAGTTGCCACTTTCAAGACGACATTGTTGGTTTCTCTGTGTAACAGCCTTTGGCAGTACCAGAACTCACTTTGTAGACCAGGCTGGCCTAGAGATCGGAGATCTGCCTGCTTCTGCCTCCCAAGTGCTGGGAGTAAAGGCGTGCACCACCACTGCCCAGTTGTTAAGTCACCTTCCTGAGGGGCAGAGACTGAGCTGAGCATGCTGTATGTATAGGAGCTTTACATTTGTCAACTCAATTACCACCACTACCATGACATGGCTCAAACTGGTCATGTGGAGCTCAGACTTGGTTTATTCTCTTCTGAGAGCTTGCTATTGTATAGGCCCTGGGTAAATGCTGGGGAAAGACTGATGAACAAGACATGTTCCTGCCTTCAAGAAGCCAGGTTGGATCAGATGAAAGGCAAAATGGGACCAGCAATTGTAGACTAAGGTGACCAACAGGGTATATGACTCCTTTATCTGTGTTAACTTATTTTTAAAGTTTAGCTTTCACTTTGTGTGTGTGTACATACATTTACTCATAATTAAATTGATTCTTTGACAGTTCCACCACACATTGTCCACACTGACCATTTTCACCCAGCCTCCCACTTCCCCGTTCTGCATTTCCCCACAGTCCCTTTCCCACATTCATCTCTGTTCATTTTGTTCTGTGATCCATTGAGTTTGGCCAGTTGACTGTTGGAACCTAATGGACTCAGAGGTGGGCGCACAACTGCAGACAGTGAGCCCCCTCTCAGAATCTACCCCTGGCCAACAGTTCATCAGTAAGGGGTTGGGCCTGGTGAGGTCCTTCTAGCTCTCTTACGTACTTAGTAACAGCTCTAGTCATCTATAATTTCCATGCCTGAAAATTTGGCTTTTCCAAATGTATTACTAGTGCATTTACAGCTTTGTATAACATCCCCCCAGCCTGGTTTGTATACACTTTCACCTACAACATTAACTGTGCAGGAGAGTCAGCCACCTGCTCCTAATATTCAGCGTCTACCCTCATCTCTGAATTTGCCTGTTCTAGACATTTCATGTAAAGGGAATTGTACATCCTGTGGCCTTTTGTATCTAGCTTTCTCATGTAATGCAGGGTTTAACACAGACCAGGGCTTTGTTGCTTCTGGTGGCCAAGCACGTCGTTACTCTGAACAGATGACACTGTTTCCCCCACATGTGCTGATGCACTGTTGTTTGTTTCCCTTGGCTGACAGTTATGAATGATGTTGCTGTAAACACTTGCCCATTCATCTTTGCACGTTCAGTTAGTTCTCTTAATTGAGTGACATCTCAGGGAACTGCCAAATGGTTTTCCAGTGTGGCTGTCCCATGCTATGGTCCTGCCAGCGTAAGGCTTTGTGCTGGGCAGTGCTCTGTGCTTTGGTAACTCGCCCCACAAACCATGGGCCATGTTTCATCAAAACTTAGGTTTCTGGAAGTGGGACAATTAGATTTTGTGTGCATTAACGTAACCATGACAGTTAGGAGCACTCAGGCCTAATTAGAAAACACCTCCGTGGGGAGGTTGCTCCACACTCTTGCCCACACTTGTTCAGGTCTTGTTTTGACCCGTAGCCATGGTGCACTGCAGTAGTATCTGGAGTCGGCTTTCACTCTTCAGTGGCTAGTGCTTTCTTGCTTATTGGCCACTATGTACTCGCTCTGGATAAATGTGTTTAAGTCTTAAGCCCATTTAAAAACTTAGTTTTATTTTTATGGTTGAGTTGTAATTTTTTTTAAAGATTTTTTTAATATATTATAGAGATGAGCCCCTTAATCAGATAAGTGATTTTTCTTTCATTCTTTCACTTTGTTGATATCACCCTTGGAATCACAAATAACTTTTAATTTTGATGACATCCACTTTATTTTGTGTGCGTGTTGTGTGTGCTTTTGTTGTGGTACCTAAGAAACGATTGCCCGACTAGGCGCTTCCATTTAGATCTTTGATCTGTTTTCAATGGAGTGTTTATGTAGGGCATGGGCGGTGGACATAGAATAGCTGCTTTCCCATTGAGCTGCACATGCAGCTGGTTCACCAGCCCAGGAACTCCAGCCACTGTGTCTCCTTATTTGGCTCATCACATAGTAAGTGTGCCTGTGAGCATCTGCATCTTACAGACAGATTCACAAGAGGGAAGTGTTCATATCATGTGTGGAATCTTAGGAGTCATCTACCAGAATATATGGTGCACTACTCAAGAGCCTGGTGAGGACAGGAGGCTGTGGGAGGTGGAGAGTTTGCGTGTCCGTACATTAAGTGTGTCATGTGAGCTGGCGTGGAGACAAAACGGCACCGACTTCTTCCTCCATGGGAAGAGGTACCTTAGCCTTCCAGGAGATGTTGTCTTTGTGAAAACCTCGAGGTTTAGACTTCTAAACTCCCCTGTATTTCACTCCAGTTTTATTACCCACGGCCAGCAAAGCTCATGCTGTCCAGTTTCTACCCTAGCCCGGTGTTAACCAAGAAGAAAGTTCGTTGTCAGTCAATTTGGGATCTTTCTTGGAATGTGCCCCTCCCTCCCTACTGTGTAGCCACACTGTCTTTAAGCTTGCTATCCACCCACCTCAGCCTCCTGAATGCTAGGATGGTAGGGGACATCTCCCTGCCCAGCTCTCTTGGAAGTTGTGTCGTGGCGGGATTTGGTGGCTTCCTAACAGCGCTGCTGTCTGTCCACAGGTGTGGAGCACGAGCACTTGTGAGTTTGTCCGCACTCTGAATGGGCATAAGCGAGGCATCGCCTGTCTACAGTACCGGGACCGGCTGGTTGTCAGTGGATCGTCAGATAACACCATCCGGTACGCAGAAACTGGAATTGGTTTATTTTTTACAAAAATCAATCAGTAGAAAACAAAACCAAAAGAGTCTCTTACTCCAGAATTAGAACACATATGAGTTTATACCCCGTGGATCATACAAAGGGGAAGGCTTAATATGGTTGGTGGTTTGCTTTTCTAAGACACTGCACACCCAGTGAGTCCAAGACCCAGCCTTTAGAAACCAAGCAACCCTGGTATCTAGTACACACGAGGCACCACTGAGTTTCATCAGGATTGGGAGACCACTGGGACTAGAGTCCCTGGCTGTGTGTGAGCTTGCTCTACATGCTTTTTTCCTTTCCTGCCTCACGTCCATATCTCCACAGGCCACTGGCTCTGTGGATTTATCCACTGAGATACCAAGAGAATTCCCAGGGACTAAACATAATTGAAGTGTTTTTGCTGAGTTGATTAAAAAATAAAGTGCCTTTTAAATATTTCAAATTACATAAAACAAAAAATAACAAAGTGAGGCTTCCGCCTAAATTAGTGCTAAAAGCACAAATGTTAGAAATAGAGATATATGTATGTATGTATGTATGTATGTATGTATGTATGTATGTATGTATGTGTGTGTGGTATGATCCAGGAGTGAGATAGGAATATGGAATTGAAGAGAATGAAAAGTCTTACCTGTATGGAACCGGTGTACAGAACTTGAGGAGGGCATGAGTCACGTGTGAGAATCTGTTTCATAGACAACTGCTTCTTGTTTAAGGCTATGGGATATTGAGTGCGGTGCCTGTCTAAGAGTCCTGGAGGGGCACGAAGAATTGGTCCGATGCATCCGTTTTGATAACAAGAGGATTGTCAGTGGCGCCTATGATGGGTATGTGTTTGGTCTGCACATGCATGGGTATAGCCTTGTCAGGAACACAACTACTGTCTCTTAAAGAGCTCTGTGCATGCTGGACTCTGTGTGAGAAAATCCGTCATACCAGTGGGTCAGATGTGGATGCCCAGGCCCAGAAAGATGAAGTAAAGCTTGCCTCAACCACGCCGTAGCCAGGCACTTGAGTTCTAGCTTATATGCTGACTGTTACCAGAAACATAAAGAGTAGGACCTGCAAGATGGCTCAGTAGTGAAGGTGCTTGCCGCACAAGCCTGGTGGTCTGGGTTCAATCCTGGAGCCCTGGTAAGGAGAGAACTCACTCCAGACCTGTGTGCGTGTGAATATACATGTGTGCACATACAGATCACACAACGGAATTCTGGTCTTTGCTTAATTCTAAATAAACAGGAACACCACTGCCCCCTCCCTTGAACTCAGTAATAAATTCCTCTTTTCTCCTTTTCTTCTCAATGACAAATGGAAGCTGTGAGCCCCAGTCCTGCATTATATAGGCTTGGTTCACTGGGCATTAGTGCTCTAATCATTTCTTCATTTGGAGAAAGGCATCCTGGGAATCTTGCACTCAGTCCCCCAAGTAATGAATTTGGTGACATAGATATCTAGTTAGGAAGTGAATTTGGTAACCCAAAGTCCTCTGCCTGTTTATCTCCTTAATAGTAACATCCCTTCAAAGTTTGAGGAACTCTGGGAAGGCTTAGGTTCTTTTTCCAAAATAAGATATTCAAAATCTAGAACATAGAAACACCAGTATGTTGCCCACTGGGTTTGGCCGAGACTTGGAGGTGCACTCTGCCTTGTCATGGATATGCCCATAGTGTAGACAGTGGTAACTTTTGCATTAATCCCAGTCTCATTTTTCCTTTGCAGGAAGATTAAAGTCTGGGACTTGCAAGCTGCTCTTGACCCTCGGGCCCCAGCAAGCACATTGTGTCTGCGCACCTTGGTGGTATGTGATTTGTTGGGGTGATGGGGTACCCAGTAAAGCTTGTGTCTTGTACCATGCTTTTAGAGATTCATGGGTAATTTTGGCCAGCCAGAACATAGCAACTTGACACTACTGCAGGGTCCTCTGTAGGTGGCAGGCATCCTCATAGCTTGTGCTACATACCTCTTGTAGCCGTGGGGGAGTCTCTAGTGTGCGGCTGTGTTATGTTTTATAACCGCACACTTGTGTACTGTTAAGGTAGAATTTCCCCTCAGTCACTATTCTATGGATTATTGCTTTGGCACATAGGAACATTTTAATTTTTAAAATTTATTTTGAATTAATAAATAATTGTGTATTGTTAGAGAGTATGATGTGATATTTTTGTTTATAGTATACATTAGAGAAAAATTACCAACTAATTAATGAGAACATCAATTTTAATTTCTTTCTGATAGAAATATATTAAAAATCTGTTTTTAAACCAAGTGTAGTGGTTCAGACCTGTAATCCCAGCACTTGGGAGGTAGATGCAGGAGGATCAGGAGTCTGAGGTCCTCCTTGCCTACATAGTGAGTTTGAGGCCAGCCTGGGATACATAAGACCCTGTCTCCTACCTGCAAAAAACAAAACAAAAAAAGCAAAACTACTCTTCATAAATTCTGAAGTATACAACACTTTGCTTTTTATTGTGGTTACTCTGTAGTATAGTGGATGATTGACAGGGTTCTTGCAGTCTAACTGAAGCTTTGGACCCTTTGATGAACGTTGGATTTGACCCACCTTTCTCTTTCCATCCAGCCCTTCCCCCTTTTCCCACTCCGGTGTCCTCCTTTTTGTCTCATTGCTGTGAGATTCAGTCTGTGGGATCATTGTCTTTCTGTGCCTGGCTTATTCCACTTAGGTAATGACCTCCAGGTGATTGATCATCCACATGTCAACGTAAATGGCAGAGTATCTTGGTTGTTTTAAGACCAAATAAATACTTTATTTTGATATGTCAATCTTTTGTAATACTACCAAAGCTGTTGAGATCTAATATTGATTCTGTTGGATTTTTTAAAAGAAGACATCTGAAAACAGTGCTGGACTTTCCTTGAAAAATTTCAGCAGGCTTTTTTGTTGTTGTTATTGTTGTTTGGTTTTTTGAGACAGGGTTTCCCATGTAGTTTTGGTGCCTGTCCTGGATCTCGCTCTGTGGACCAGGCTGGTCTTGAACTCACAGAGATCCTCCTGGCTCTGCCTCCCGAATACTGGAATCAAGGGCATGTGCCACCACAGCCCAGCTCTTCTGCTGTGGTTTAACATAGATTTTCTTGCTTATGTTTAAAAAAAAATTTTTTATAGGAGCAGGGTGTGGTAGTGCACACCTTTAATCCCAGCACTCAGGAGGCAAAGGCAGAGACAGGCAGATCTCTGTGAGTTTGAGGCCAGCCTGGCCTACAAAGGGAGTTCCAGGCTGGCCAGGGCTGTTACACAGAGAAACCCTGTCTTAAAAAAAGAAAGAAAAAAGAAACATTATAGTAACTTCGCACTTCTGATTCTGGTTTTACAGTAGATTCCAAGTGGGTATTAACTCAGATGGCCTCTGTGTGAGGTGATCACATAGCTTTCCTTCTGTGACATATGACTAGTCCACAATGTAGGACATAATGCTTATAACTTAAAAAAAGGAAAGAAAAGAAAACCCTACAAGGCAAAACAGAGCATTTGTTCTCTGAAAGGGCACAGCTCAGTGGCTGGGAAGTCATGCCGGAAGCTCGGATAAATGCTGACTCTGCAGGCTGAGTTACATCCTGGCTATGGAGGTGGGGACTCTAAAGATGGCACTGTTAGTCAAGCTGCTCTTTTGCAGGAACACTCTGGACGCGTGTTTCGGCTACAGTTTGATGAGTTTCAGATCATCAGCAGTTCCCACGATGACACTATTTTGATTTGGGATTTCTTAAACGTGCCTCCCAGTGCCCAGAATGAGACACGCTCTCCCTCCAGAACCTACACCTATATCTCCAGATAGCGGTCTGCACTTTGGCCCAATCTGGTGAGTATGCTCAAACCCCAGCCCTATGTGGGCTCTTCAAGGCCTTGCTTCTGGGCTTTACCTTTGAATTCCTTGGTGATGTGAATAAGCCTCTTCTGGATCTAACAGGTGAGGTCCTGATGGTCTCACCACAGGATCCTGCACACCGTGGGCTTTCATCTCATTGTTAACAGGTGATGGATGAGGTTGCTGTCTTAAAAACTGGCTTCCTAAGTGATTTCCTCAATGGTCATGGCCATTACACACCAGAATAGTTCTTCAGGTTTGTTTTTGGAGTGCAGGAATCAACCTTTTTTCCTGGTCCTTTGGTTCTGTGGCTTACAGACAGACAGATGCACATATACGCATGCACACAGGAGGACAATCCAAATTCCTCCTCTTCCCACCACCACCACCACAGCCATTGCCATCTCAGAAAGGAGAGATCACTGAAGTGTGTGGTGGAGCCTTGAAACCCATCCTTCGTGGGGAGGGCAGCAGGTGCTTTGGGAAGCAGGTCCTTTGCCCTGTTACAGACCCATCACACTGTTGGTGACAGGATGTTTTGCTCACCAATATGCTCAGTTTAGAAGGATGAGAGATGGCCGACTGGCCCACATCCCAGATACCCATGACTACTGAGAACAGCATTCCCAACTTGAAGATTTACCAGAGGCGTATCACACTGGATTCTGTGCGCATCACACTTTGTAGACTTAATACTTACCCATACTTCTGTGAATATGTATATAAAGACTTGTGGTTAAATCCTCCTAATTTAAAAGTATTACTTAATTCTTTGTAGCTTTTTACTAGTATTTTCTTTTTTATTAAAAAGTACAAAATGTCTATGTGTAAAATTGAGAAGTTGTGGGGAATTTCTCATGGAAAGAATGAGAACCCCTAATACCAAGTCACCCAGAGTCCCATGATTTCAGGTATTGTTCAGTCAAGGTTGAGTTCCATGAACGACTCTCAAGAAGTTTGCCCTGCTCAGGGCTGACACGCTGTTGCCAAGCACTGCATTGGACCCGTTGTATGCTTTGGTTTTTCTGCCCCCCGCAGGCCAAAAATAGTTTTAAACGCTTGAAAAATATCAAAAAGAAAATTGGGCGCCATGTAGAAATTCAATGATGTTAAAATTCCACCCTCCCTAAATCAGTTTAATGGGAGCGTAGCTGCTGCACTCGTTTGTTTACATTTACTGGGCTGCTTCTGTGCTTCAGTGATGGGAGTGAGTGGTCCGGACAGAGCTCACACAGCCTGGCATGTCAGCCAGTTCCCGTGCAGCCTTGAAGAAGCAAAGGTCTGCATCAAGAGGGGCAGATCTGGGCTGCCTTGGACAACTCCCTTGCACCAGTAGTGCTGGTTGAGGGAACAGCTCTGGGACCCCAGACTGCAAGGCATGGTGGGCTGGTGACACCTGCTGTGTGTCAGGGAAAGCCACCCACAGGGACCTGAGAGCCACTCAGATGTTCCTGTTCCTGCTCTCCCATGTGCTAACACTGGGTCTGCCCACACAGTCAAATTCTCCCTCACTGCTTTCTCTTGGAAGATTCTTTCTAAGACCATTGAAAAATCCACCTGGCAGAGTCGTGTATTCGTTGAGTGAAGTCTTCAGAGCATGGCCTTCCTCCTGGTCTTTCCCTTCCATTCTTGAGCCTGCCCTCTGTGCCTCTCCATGTCCTGTCCAATTAATATCTGGTCTCCTTTCTTCTCCAGGGTTTCCTGGTCTTGAACTACTGGCTACATGGCTACCACATGCCTAAGGGAGTTCGTTCACAGCTGAGTTCTGGGGCTGGAATTGGTTCTAGATGCTGGGTAGACACAAAGCAGCCCCACTCTTCAAGCCCCACCATTTCCCAGGCCACCCCGGCTCTGCTTGGAGAAGGACAGCTTAGCTTACCGACTGCAAGCAGAGCAGCAGCTCCCGCCCTCCCTTCAGTGAAGAACCAACGCTTCCTTCCGACGCCCATGCTCACGGAAGGACACGTGGCCTCTTCTTCAGAAGCAAAGCGACCGACCGTGGGAGAAGACTTGTCTCTCATTTACATCGCTTTGAACCTTGGTTTGGTACTAAAAACAGCATTGCATTCTTGGTGAAGTGTTGGGGGTTCAGGGCTCCTCTCCAGCAGCAGCAGCAGCAGCAGCAGCAGCAGCAGCAGCAGCAGCAGCAGCAGCAGCAGCAGCAGCAGCAGCTTCTCCTTAGACCTTCAGGTCACTGTCATTCTGATGTGCATAGGAATGTGTCGGACAATGGACAGCTGGATTATTTTAGTATTTTTGGATTACACTTCCTTTCTGTACCAGTTTCTTTTAATTTAAAGAATAAGTGAGTTATATTACCTCTCCACAGGTGATATAGCTATTTTCTTTTATTAACTGTTCTCTGTTCCCTCTTCATTTCCTGATATTTGGTAGAGTAACACCTTTATCCACGTGCTTGCCTCCTAATTTAAAATACTGTACCCGCATGTAGATATAATGTACATAACACTTGAAGCTCAAGGTTGCCGACGGGCCCCGCACGGGAGACACTGCTATGGAGTGTGTCGCTCAGCCGCAGTGGGCCCGAGAGCCTGACTCCAGGGTTGCTGTGATTCCTAGAACCTTCCTGCAGTATTCCTTTGCGTTTTATTTGTCACTGTCCTGTGTGTGCTGTGTTCAGATGGAACTTCAGAAGTTTATCAGGATGTTTGTTTGTTTGTTTGTGGCTTCTGCAGTGGACAGGCATCTTCGCAGTCTCCATGTCACTGTTCTGCTCCTCATGAGCACCCCTCCTGAGAGCTAGTGATCACCTCATCACGGGGTCATTGGCTTCTCTGTCCGATGTCCTGCTGTGGCAGGGAGACAGGGAGAAGGCAGCCCCGTTGACGGGGCTCCTGCCTCTGGGCCCCTGCACTCTGCCTGCCAGGGGGTTGGAGGCTGCTAAGTCAGAACCTGCGGAGCAGGTCAGCTGTTCCTGTGTGGAGCACAGCCTCAGGCCCGTCAGCTCTGGTGTGACTCATCACCTCAGTTCTCAAAGCTCCCGGGTGTGAGAGGCACAGACAGGACATTGGTCAACATTTCCCTCTTTCAAGATTAGGTTTTGATTTGCCCCTCACCATTGTTTCCAAAGATCAAGGAATGTCAGTAAGTAACCGTTAAAGGACCAACCAGCCCCTCCCTGGGAGTGGAGCCTCTTCCCATGGAAGCACACTGTAGGAGAGAGAAGAGGCCTCTGGGCTCCTCTGGGCTCCTCTGGGCTCCTCTGGGCTCCTCTGGGCTCCGCTGGGCTCCGCTCGCTGGCTCGCTCGTCCTGGCATTGTGAATGCTGTGGGATCAGTGTGTGTGGTGATTGCTTTCCTGGGTTGACGTTGCTTTTTCCTTGTTGGTTCTTTTCTTTCTTTGTTCTCTCTCTCTCTCTCTCCCTCTTCTTTTGGAGACATTGTTCTCACATGCTTCTACATTTGTTTCTGAGAGGTGGGGGCTCAAATGTATAGAAAGTAGGCCCCTGTCTATAAGAGGGGTGTGAACACACCACCTCACAGCTCATCACCCCTTGACAGGAACGCCCAGGGGAGGCAGGGAGGGGGGACGTGAATTCTGAACAATCGGACTTTCTCTTGTTTTTGCATGTTAAATATAGAAGTTCCTGTCCATCCTTGGGAGATCAGGGCCTTCACATATGCACACGACCTTTGAATTGTGCCTACTAAATTACAGCAGGGGACTTGGGTACCCAAGGAATTCCAGTTTCTGGGATTACGGCAGTAATTCCTAGTTGTACTCTGGACTTTATTTTGCTAACCGTAATCAAGCAACTGTAAATTACTGCTATATTAATGTTAAAGCACTGGGGTAGTCTAATTCTAACGGTAATTAATTATGTTTGCCAATTATCTGTTTGAAATAAATATGTGTCTGAACAGCTATTGAAACTGTTAAATTGTACAGATATTATCATGACGGCTTTGTACTGTGGAATGTGCTTAATAAAAAAGTTTGACCTTTGTCCAATAAATTGCTAAGTAATGTCAGTAAATCAAGATGAGTATTATGCAGTACACCTGACCTGGCTTCATGGCGATTGTTACTTCAGCTACTAATTCAAAGCCAATACTCTCAATAAAGTGTTGCAGTATTCCGCTGTTCTGTTACATTTTTCAGAAAAACAGTTTTGTACTCTCAAGAATTAAGAGACTTACCTGACGGTAGATTTTCAAAGTCATCTGCTCTATAGATGAAGCTGACTCGATGATTCTGGCTGTGGAATTCCTCACCTTCCGCTCTCCCAGAAAGCTCCAAGAGCTGAGGACTCCTCACCATCAAATCTGCATGGCGGGTGTGCATGAGTTCTGCCAACTAGGACAATGGCCCCAGTACTTCCAGGTGAGAGGATCCTTCCTCTTGAAACGGTGTGAGTGATGGAGGTACAGGGGCAGGAAGTGAGCTGGCCGTGACAGCAGGCTCTTCGAATGAAATAGAACAGTATTTTGATGGACTTACCCATGAGCTTGGATAAGAAAACTAGTTTACAACCCCTAAAAAAGTACGGGGTGCTACTTGTCTCCCTCTCTGGTCATCATTCCATGCCATTCTTGTTCAGTGCCTTGATAGTTGGTTATAAGGTATATCTTTTTGCCAGTTCAATTGAGAGTGGAGATTGGCTTGTTTTTTTGCCCAACTGTTAAATGTAATAAGCTGTTCCCCATGGTTTGGGCTAGTCCTTAGGAACAGCAAGGGATGGACTCGTGTGTGTGTGTGTGGGGGGGGGGGGCTGAGTATATAGTAGCTTGGATTGTGTGCTGGGTAGTTTTATGTTAACTTGACACAAGTTAAAGTCATCTGAGAGGAGGGAACCTCAATTAAGAAAACGCCTCCATAAGTTCAGGTTGTAGGCAGGCCTGTAAGGTATTTTCTTAATTATTGATTGATGGGAGAAGGCCCAGCCCACTGTGGGTGGTGCCATCCCTGGTTGGTGGTCCTGGGTTCTATAAGAAAGGCTGAGGAAGCCAGGGGAAGCAAGCCATAAGCAGCACCACTCCATGGCCCCTGCCCTGTTTGGGTTCTGTCTGTTTTTGTTGTTGTTGGTTTTGGTTTTGTTTTTTTTGTTTGTTTGTTTGTTTTTTCTTTTCCTAGACAGGGTTTCTCTGTGTAGCTTTGCCCCTTTCCTGGAACTTACTCTGTAGCCCAGGTTGGCCTCGAACTCACAGAGATCCACCTGCCTCTGCCTCCCGAGTGTAGGGATTAAAGGTGTGCGCCACCACCGCCCGGCTGTTTGAATTCTTGACTGACTGACTTCGATGATAAACAGTGCTGTGGAAGAGTAAGCCAAATAAACCCTTTCTTTCCCAACTTACTTTTGGGTCATGATGTTTTATCACAGCAGTAGAAACTCTCAAAGACAGAACCTGACCTTTTCTTCCATAGCTGGTGAGGACTCCCTTCCTCCGGCCCCTCCATCCATTCTTCCTAAATGCTACAGCTGCATCCATCCGCTCGAGCTGGGGACTTGAGGGTTCTGTTGTACTCCTCTTCCATCAGAGATGAGCTGCCCTGCCATTCCAGCCTGCTTGTCTTCTAAATAAAGAGTCCAATGGGACATTTGCCTCATGATCCTCCTCCTTGGTAGCTCCCTGGCATTCTTGGTTGGGGGTCTTTGCTTCCTGTCTGACTTGCTACTCAGGGAGGCACATGGCAAGCTCAAAAGACTCTGCAAGAATGCAGATCCAGTGATGCCAGAGCTGATTTCAAGGTATCCCAGAAGTCTAGATTATGTACTCCCCCAACTTGTAGAAGCACCTTTTCTTTAAGATGTATTTTTAGTTTGTATATGAGTGTTTTGTCTGTCTTGGGGTTTCTCTCTCTCTTTTTTTTTTTTCCTCGGGACAGGGTTTCTCTGTGTAGCTTTGTGCCTTTCCTGGAACTCACTTGGTAGCCCAGGCTGGCCTCGAACTCACAGAGATCCGCCTGGCTCTGTCTCCCAAGTGCTGGGATTAAAGGCGTGCGCCACCACTGCCCAGCCCCCCTGTCTTGGGGTTTCTATCACTGTAATAAAACACCATGATCGGAAGCAACTTGAGGAAAGGGCTGCTCTCGGGTCACACTCCACTCCTGAAGAGAGTCTGTAGGAGCAGGAGCCTGGGGCAGGAACTGAAACAGAATCCATGGGGGACTGCTGCCTTGCTCTTCCTGGCTCGTTCAGTTTTTCTTCCACCAGGACCATCTGCCCACAGTGGGGCCATGTCCACAATGGGCTGGGCACGCCCACATCCATCTTTAATCAAGAAAATGCCCCACAGGCTTGCCTACAGCCGGATTGTACGGAGTGGAGGCATTTTCCCAAATGAGGTCCCCTCCTCTCAGATGACTCCAGCTGTATCAAGTTGATAACACTAGCCAGCACTGTCTGCCTCTGTGTACGTCTGGGCACCGCGCTGTGCAGTGCCTACAGAGGCCGTAAGAGGGACCCCTTGAACTAGAGTTACAGACAGTTGGGAGCCATCATGTGGGTGCTGAGAACTGAACCTGGGTCCTCTGCTAAGCCATCTCACCAGCCTTTGGCAACTTTTTTTTTTTTTTTTTTTAAAGCTAACCTCTCCACCAGCTTGCGTCTGAACTAGTGGATGGTAAGCATTTTTAGTGATCTGCTGATACACTGTATCAGTGAAGGACTTGGGGCTCATGGAGGAAAGGGACAAGAAAGATTATAGGCCTCCTGATATGTGTAGTATACAGTAGTCACTCAGCATGTTGGTGAAGAGGAGGAAAGAGCCAAGAACTGGATTCCAGTTTCCAGTTGCTGGGCCTGCTTCAGATGGACGTGGGATCCTCTTATAGCAGGGCAGCGTTGGGGTGTGGGTTGGCTTGGTCTCTATCAAGAGACTAGCTTTACTCTGCTCCAAAGTCTCCAGACTCCTGCAGGCTTCTTGCACTAAGATGTCTAGTACCCAGTGGGTACCCAGCTATCATGGAACACATGGCTGCCTGTCTTGGGGTACCAGCATCTGCCTGAGGAAAGGGCAGTGGTCCTTGAAGTTTTTTGTTTTTGAAATGGCCCTTGTAGCTTAACCTGCCCTTTGAACTCAGAGCAGTCCTTCCTCTGCTCCCAAATTCCAGGATCATAGGCATGCCCCACAGTGCCTGCCTTGGGCCTCTGATGATCTAGTTCACAGATCTAAGAGCAGGACTGCTTAGGCATAGCTGTGTGAACATGGCAGGCAGGCAGGCAGAACATCCCCCTGGTGGATTCTCAGCTGTGAGAGTTGAGTAAGAATCCCCGCTCCCTGTCTCCTACTCTCCGCTCACCTGTAGTCCTTTCCAAGAGCAGTTTGCTTCTGTCACTGCCTCTGAGACTTCTTTCTGGGCAGGCCAGGGAGAATCAGAAGACCCAGATTAGGGTTTTAGGAACAGCCCAGCCTAGTGTCCTGGGGAGCCCCCCTGCCCTGCCCATCCTCAATACCCTTGGTGCCAGTTGACGTCTCGCAGGCTGTGTCCCGCAAGGGCTACTCAGCTAGCCGCTGGCGAGGAAAGGGCAGCTTTGGCCCCCGTCCCCCTGGACTGGAACTGTCATCTGTACAGGCAGGCCAGTGAGCAAGGACATTGATTGCCTGGAACGTGAGCTTTCATAACGGAGTATTTCAAGAGTGCTGTAGGGATAAGTGGTATAACCTAAAAATGATGCCTGGTAGCTCCATCAGTGGTATTTAAATAGCTAAGAGTGCCCAGTCAGGCCATAGTGGTGTCTGGGATGGCATGGGAGGGGACACAGGTACTCAGGCCAGCCTAGAACATGAGCTGACGGTCCCAGGTGAGGACTGCCCCCCACACACACAATGGAGCCCTGAGTTTGCAAGCAGGGCCATTATGTCCTCTGGAAAAGATGGGGGAGTGCATTATCTAGATTTTCTTCTGGTCATATTGGTAGCCACAGCTGATGTCTCTGTAAGTGGCCCTTGCTTCTCTCTTTCCATGCTCTCCGGGTGCCATGATGCCAGCAGAGCCCCAACCCCACCCCGTGCAGAGGAACCAGGCCTCAGGCTGTGTGGTCCCTTCATGCTGGCCGACCGTCCGCTCATCTCTTCTCCCTCCCTTCCACAGCCTTGGCATGCAGTTTGGTTTTGTTTTGTTGTTGTTTTTGTTTGTTTTGAGACAGGGTCTCCCTGTGTAGCCCTGGCTGGCCTTGAACCCACAGAGATCCATGTGCCTCTGCACCCCCGAGTGCTGAAATTAAAGGCATGCACCACCGCACCTGGCTTCTGGCATACATTCTTGGTCAATAATGTGTGTGATGTGCCTAGGCCAACACTCAGGGTGTGATTGAGAGCAAGTGGCAGGGTGCTCGGCATCGGGCTCCGTCCTGGGCTAGTGAGCTGGGTGTCTCCTGCCCCAGTTCAGGAGAAGAGTGCTGAGGTCGAGAATAAGGAAAGACCCGGGAGGTGGCAGGGGTGAGGTAAGAAGGTTGTGAGGGCTTGCCTGGGGCGGGAGGGAGAGCGGGGGGACAAGGCTCCCTCCCATATTGGCTTCACGTCTCATTCAGTGGCGCTGTAACAGAAAGGGGACACGGTCCCACTCTCGTGAAGCTTGCACTACAGAAGTAGTCAGTCCCCTGTGCCTGCTCCAGCGTGTCAAACAAAACACATAGACTGGCAGGCTGATGAGGATGAACGAGAGCTGTGAACCGATCACGTGGGCTGGGGTTGGAGGAGGTTTGGAGCACCTGACCAAGACCTCAATGGTAAGGAGTCAGATACAAGCTAAGTCAAGAAAGGATGTTCCTGATGAGGCTGTGGGGATGCAAAGGCCCTGAGGTAGGTACCCCTGGAGAGGACATCCAGTCCCCTAGGAAGGAGAAAGGAAGATTTGGGGGAGGGGTGTGTGTGGACAGGTAATGCTTTTGAGTTCGAACAATGGAGGTGTTCAGAGAGAGGCTGACCTGAGGAGAGATGCCTCAAAAAGGGGTTTGTGCTTGCTCCTGAGTCTGGAGGAACGTGGGGTTAGGAGAAAGGAGGGTAAGCCTCAGACAGACAGAACAGACAGACAGACAGAACCAGAATGCAGGCGTCTCCCTGGGAGCAGTGGCTGTCTGCTGCTCACACACTGGACACCTAATCTCACCTCACACTCCTTCCAGAACTCTGGGATCCCGTGGCAGCCTCCAGCCTCTCCCTGGCTCCTGCTTGCTGGCTCCCTCCTTGGGAACGTTCCTGAGGCCCATCTGCACAAACAGCCCAGGGCCAGGTCTGCACCTCAGGAACAGGAGATAAAAGGGGCCGTGGGGACTTTTCCACCAAAGGCAAAAGCAGTTTGTAGAATGGGCTGTGAGGTTTTGTTTCAGGAAATTTCATCATGTCTCTAAGAAGGGGGGGGATGGAGGCAGGGTGGAGGAAAAATGGAGAGAGAGGGTGGAAGGGGGGATTGGTCCCAGACTTCCTTGCTCCTTTTCATGTTGGTAACACAGGTGGCCCAGGTCAGCCTCAGGTCAGCGACAGTCGGCTCTTTAGTGCCCCTCTGTGAATACCTCATTTCTGTAATAGTTTTTCCTTTAAAAACAGCTCTGCCTTCTTTGGCAGATGGTGACATTCCATTAGCATATGGAATATTTTTCAAAGCACACCCAAAAGTGTGTCTCTTATGGAGGAGCCAGGGTAAAAGCATGCGCAGGCTTGAAAAGTGTGCTGGAGCCCCTTGGCACGCAGTGGAAGGGCACACTCCCCCTGCCCGGGCACCATCGTCTCTGGTCCTCACCTGAACCAAGCAGAGAACTGCTCCTGAGGGTGGCCTGCCAGCTCTGCAGGGCAGGCACAGCCACAGAGCAGAACGGGAAAGGTGACCGGAGGACGAAGAGCACAGCATTGCCCATGCGGCCTCGGGTAGTGGCATGCCCTGACCAGCTCTGATCAGCCTGGGATGCTGGGAGCACTCCCCTGTTGCCTTCCTTCCCAGTAAAACTCATCGGCCACCCAAGGCTGGCCAATCTCTTGCATACACCAATGAGATCAGGCCACCTCCTTGCCAACACTCCAGCAGCCACGACTGTCCTCAGAGTCTCACAGGAACTCTGCTACAGGCTGTAGGGCTCTCACTCCTGCTATTTTGGATCAAGCTTCTCTGCCCTGCATGCCAGCTGCAGGAGTGTTTGCCATCTCTGTTCCTGCCTCTGGACTCTTGCACATACTGTTCCTCTGCCTAGCACGCATTTCTCTCGGCATGTGCATGGCTGCTTCCTTCTCATTCAGGTCTCAACTAAAAGCCTCCTTCGAGAAGATTCTCTGAGCATGAGTCCAGTGCTGTCCATCACACCATGGAGGTACCTTCAGCATGTCATCTCAACAGACTATGTCGCTGTCTAGCACATTCTGTATTGCTTTAAGTACATGTCTTACTAATATATTTTGTTTGTTTGTTTTTGAGATAGGGTTTCTCTGTGTAGCCCTGGCTGTCCTGGAACTCACTCTTATAGACCAGGCTGGCTTCCAACTCAGAGATCTGCCTGCCTCTGCCTCCCAAGTGTTGGAATTAAAGGTGTGCACCACCACCTCCTGGCTTCAAGATAGACTTCTCAAAGGCCTACTATGTATCACATACAGAGCTGGGAAGGATCAAAACAAATATCCCTGCCCTTATGACACCTACATTATGACAAAGGAAGACAGACAATGAATGTATCACAGTTGTCTCTTGCTGTCTTCAGGTGATAATTCTAGGACCTCTCAGGTACCCAAATTCTGGCATACTCGGCCCCATCCTGTACAATGGCTTAGTGTTTGTACAGGACTCATGCATCATCCCAAGTGCCTTCACTCATCTCTGGTGAAAGCATTGCACAGGCTGCTGTGACCTCTGCTGCCTAGGACACAGTGACAAGGTGTCTGCACAGGTGTGAAACAGACGCACCTCCCTCCTGCCTTCACCTTTCTACCCAAGGTGGGTGCAGAACCTGTGACCTGAGAGGCCCAGCTTTTTACAACTGTATATAATTCCTAGCCAGAAGCATGACCTTGAGGATAAGACCCCTATTTGTTTTGCTCAGAGACGGAGCCCAAGGCATTGTGGTTAGCTGGAGGGCTGCACCACATTTGATAAACAGTCTTGAGACATCGGTATTGGCCATACTCTGCTAGTGGAACAGCACATGTCTGGGGTGGTGGTGTGTCATTCCTCATCTGCTCCAGTATCCTCAGAGGTCATTGTTGTCCACCCATTTAACAGATGGGCAAGTCTCAGAGACGGGATAAAGGAGTTGATGGAACCCTTAGCTGTCTGTGACTGAGACGCAGGATCACAATATCATTTACTTCCCCCTCGAGGCTGGCTCTATTCTGTTTCAACTCCTTGCTGCTAAAATGCTGGCTCAGGCAGAGTTCACTGGTGTTCTCAAGCAGATGGTCTAGCCTGTGGTGGGGACAGGCTTGCAGTCCCACCTCATTATTGCTGGGTGCTCAGGAAGGAGAGGACTGGTGGGAGAAGAGTTCCTTGGTCAAAGCTCTTTTTGCAGGCAGGACTTACAAAGCCTCCATGCCTAAGAACACTGAGACTTAGAAAGGTGGCATCTGACTTGTCACGGGGCAAGTCAGGAAGGATGAGAAGTGAAATGTCTTATAGTCTCAGGCATTTGGATGATTGATTGATGATGGTTGGTGACTGTGGTAATGATAGTGATGGTCATGTGATAATGGTATGATGGTGGCGGTGATGGTGATTGTGGTGATAATTGTGATGTGGTAGTGATGGTGGTGATGATGGTGGCAGTGGTAATGACTTTGATAATGGTCACCATGGTTTGAATGTAAAGCACCCCCCAGCCATCCCCTGTGTTTGAACACTTGGTTCCTAGAGGTTGTGGCTCTGCCTGGCTGGTGGATGTGGGGCCATATAAATAGGCTTTCAGGAGTACAGGCTGACTCTACTTCTGGTCTTTCTCTGTTTCCTGATCTGCCAAGATATAACAAGCCATGCCACAAGATCTCAATGCCATGGATGGCCCCCAGCTCCCAAGGCTCCCCTGCCATGATGTACTGCATCCCTTATAAACAAGCGCACTCGCCCCATGCTCATGTCAGAAAGGATCCAGAGAAGTAACTAACAGAGTGATGGTGTTTAATCACCATGATGGCGTTGCTGATGGGGGTGGTGATGATGACAGGATTCCTGATGATGTTGCCCATGGTGATGGAGCTGCTGATTTTGATGATTAAAAACTGAAAGTCCTTGGTTGGAGCCCATTCAGGCTTTCCCCAGCAGGTCTGCATAAAGAGGATGACTGGACCACGGGCCTGAGTACCAGGTGCTTGGAAGGGTCTACCCTTGGCTGTATCTAGCAAGGGGGAAGTCTTTGCCGCTCTCCTTGGCATTGTCATAAAAAGCCCTTTGGAATAAAGTTCTGGGCTGGTGGGTAAGGATCCAGGCCCTCCCGAGGCTATCCTGTGTTTCTGTCTTTCCTCTCATCCTCTAGGTATCTCTTTCTAATACTTCTCACCTCTCCCTACTCAAGAGTACCCTGGGTCGTAAAAGTGGGGACTGGTCCCCCACAGTCCTTGGAGGTATATGAATGTGGGCATTGATTCATCAAAGCTTCTGTTCTTCATGCACTCCTTCCTCATCATTCTCCCCTTGCAGTGTGGTCAAGGTTGATGTTGGCATCTGCATGGATATGAGACTGAGTCCTGATCCTGCCACTGAGGGGCTGAGTGACCTTACGCGAGTCACGTGACTCCAGTGAGCCTCGCTTTCCTCAGCAGCTGCACAGAATGGAAGGAGTAGTGGACAAGCATTTTTGCGACTCTGCAGGAAATGATGATGTACTCGAGGCAAAGAGATTTGTGCCAGCCCAGAGGTCTTGTGGAACAGATGTACTCCTCTGCATCCTTCAGCATAAGGCTTTGTACACCGCGGGGCCTAGTGAACACCCCTGAATTCAGAGTCCTTGGTGGAAGGGTCTTGAAGCTAGGCTCAAACTCCAGTCCCTTAACTTCTTGTCATGACACAGGAACATCACCGCTCAGGAAGTCCCCGAGTCATCTCTGGTAAAATGGATAGGAGTGGGGTTAATGCCTCCTGTATTAGTTAGGGTTTCTGTTGTGAAGTAATCTTTCTGTACACTCTGAAGATTTGTCACATAGATTAGTTTAATAAAAAGCTGAACAGCCAATAGCCAGGCAGGATTTTCAGGACAGAGAGGATGCTGGGAAGAAGGCAGGAGATGTGGATTAGCTAGCCAGCCGGAGAAGGAGCAAGACATGGGAGGACAGGTTGATGTCATGAGTCATGTGGCAACATGTATGCGAATAGAAATGGGTAAAGTTCTAAGAGCTAGTGGGACAAGCCTAAGCTATGGGCCAAACTTTCATAATTCATAAGAAGTCTCTGTGAGGTTATTTGGGAGCCAGCTGGCAGGACAGAAAAACCCACCTACTGGTTTCTATTGCTGCAGTGGAACACCATGACCAAAAAGCAAGTTGAGGAGGAAAGGGTTTATTATACTTACACTTCCTCAGCACTGAAGGAAGTCAGGGCAGGAACTCAAACTACCCGGGTAGGAACCTGGAGGCAGGAGCAGATGCAACAGCCATGGAGGGTGCTGCTTGCTCACATGGCTTGCTCAGCCTGCTTTTATTGTTGCTGTTGGGGTTTTGTTTGTTTGTTTTGTTTTTCAAGACAGGGTTTCTCTTGACTGTCCTGGAACTAGCTCTGTAGACCAGGCTGGCCTTGGACTCATAGAGTTCTGCCTCCCAAGTGCTAGGATCGAAAGTGTGTGTCACCACAGCCTAGTCCAAAGTCTGCTTTCTTATAGAACCCAGGACCACCAGCCCAGGGATGGCACCACCCATCATGGGCTGGGCCCTCCCCCATGGATCGCTGAGAAAATACCGTACAGCTGAATCTCATGGAGGCATTTCCTCAACTGAGGCTCCTTCCTCTCTGATGACTCTAGCTTGTGTCAAGTTGACGCAAAACCAGCCAGTACATCTCCCTTGCAGGCTTGTGGATTAGAGGTGCTGTCTGTGAGATGCTTAGCATGCAGTAGATCTGTGACCAGGTTATTCATATTCATGGCCAGAGCAGGCTAACCTCAGAGAGGTTGGTGTCCCACTCACCATTCCCTTTCTCTGAGGACAAATGACTGGGAAACATTCTTAGAGACATATCTGTAAACTTGGGCTCTCCGTACCAGGAGCCATGGTTAGGGAGAGACAAGTTTGGGAAGCGGCACGGCTGGAAGCATTCTCAAGGGCCTGTGGCATCCAGATGCCTGCCTTCCATCTGGAATGTTCATTTCTCAACTACAATCTCTGGCCTGGGAACATGCAGCCTTGGTTCTAGAATGTAGATTTAGGCCGGCTTCTGAACGCCCCTCTCCCTCACCCCCACCCCCACCCCCGCCATGAATTTCATGGCAGACCACATGGTGCAGCCACTTTTCAGCTCAAATTCAAGGAATTAAACCCTCTTGATTTGGGTTCATAACTCAGTCCCCTTCAGGTGTGACCTCCCCTCCCTCTCAGGGTAGCAGTGGGGTGAGGTTTGATGGGAGCGGGGTCCACTTCTCTCCTGGCTTCTCTTCTCTCTAACCTGGATGACTGTTCCACTAAGAGGCAGCCCTGACTGTCTGGAGCTGGCCCCGAGGTCCTGAGGTCCTGTGATGGACTGTGAAGTCTGCTCTGGAAACTGTACAGGAAGTGTGATGGTCTGAGGGCCTTCCCCGGTCTCCAAAAGCACCAATACCCACGATTCCATTCACACAGCCCTCTCTGCTCTCAGGGTAGAGATGTGTCTGCCTCCTGTATTCTAGAGGCTACCTTTGCTGTGGCCCTTTCTGGTAGGGCAGCCACCAGTCTGTTCTGCAAAGCTTCATCTCTAGAGGTGGCCCTTGCTTCATTGGGGAGGGCTGTGCACTTGAACTTGGGTTTTCTGATTTCAAACTTGTCTTCCTTTTCCTTGCGGCTAGTCTTAGCAAGAAACCCAAGTTCTAGTATGGGAGAGTTTGTGCAGTAGTTCACAGGAGACTTTGCTTGTATCAACAGAGGTCCAGAGAGAGACAGTGATTTACCCAAGGTCACACAGCTAACAAACAAGGACCATACTGGAATTCAATTTTCCAGCATCCAATCCATTACTATTTATGGCCCCAGCCCTTCATGGCCACTTGGCCCAAGCCTAGGGATGACACAGATGTCCACTGGACGTCATTATTTCTCTACCAAAAGCGAGGTAGGTGTTTTCCTTGGCAGGGAACTAGGATTTCCCTGCTTCCCCAGGCTAGAAACTTGTGTTTGGGATGCTCAGGTGTGGTTCCTCTCCTTCTGGCTCAGAGTCAGGAGGTAAAGCCTGCTTCCTGTTTTCCTAGGGTGGGGAAGGTCCGTTTGCATGCTGATTCTCCTCCCTCCCGGCCTCTGACACCTATGACCTTTCCTCAACCCTCCCACCTCCCCTCCAGCCTCTGCCCAAACCCCAGGCTTGGAGAGGCATCACTAATTCTCCAGATCCTCACACCCACCCTTCCTCATAGGAAATGCAGGCTTCCAGCCAGTTCAGCTCAGAGTCAGGCTCACAAAACAGCTAGGCTCTGGGTCCTGCCTGCCTGTTTGCTGGGAGGATGCTGCCCCTGAAGCAAACAGGAAGTGTTCCTGGATGGAGTGGGAGGGGCGCTGGGCCCAGACCGGTTGCTCTTGCTGAAGAATATATATGAATGAAATTATAGTCAAAGGCTTTGTAGCTGTCTGAAGGATCACGGTGTGGGGTGGCACACGGGAGTTAGGATGGTGATGGGGACAGAGGGCACATCTTATCAGAGTGCCAAGGCTTGAAGGAGCCCACATAGAAGCCCATGAAGTAAACGACAGAGCTGGATGGGAGACAGCAAGCTCATGTCACAGGGGAGAACCTCCTCAAAGTGGACGCCTGGGGTTCTACCCATCACCCACTGCACCTCAAGCATCCATGTTTATCCCTACCATCCTCGGGCAGAGGGAGAGGCTGAGACATGCAGATCCAGTCCTCCCACTCTGCCACTCTTCAGTGGCCTGGGCAAGCCTGCTGACCTACCCATACTGTGCCCTTCAGAAGGCAGCTGCAATCCCAAGTGGAGGACAGGCTTGGGAAAACCAAAGGGGCTGCTCTGAGCTTGCCAGGAGAATGAATGATGGCGTTTATGAACAGTGTTCATTAAGTGGCCAAGAGAGCAGGCCAAAGGGTCAGAGAATGAACCAAGGGTCCCATCAACCAGCACACCTGGTTGGTGCTCAGGGCAGGTGGGGAGGCAAGCATTTTGCCACTTCTTCCACAAGAGGCTGGGGAGGAGGTCGCCAACCCCTGGGAAGTGTGCCCCACAGTTCACACCCACCTCCCCAGCCTCTTTCCACTAAGTCAGTGGTGATCAGGGGCTGGGAAGGGGAACATGATTTCCAAGAACACAGCACAAATAGACGTTAGTGTCCACAAGGAAAGCCAGGATCATTCATTCACTCTGAAGCGTGATCTTCCCAAGGTGGAATTTTCTTATGTTGTGTTTACCTGTGGAATTTATTATGATGCATTTGGCTGAAAGCAACAGGGTAGCTGACTAATAGAAGCCAGGCAGTCACAGACTGGCAGCCCGAGGGTGGCTCAGCGACTCAGTCAACATCGAGAACTCTCTCCCAGAACTCTCTATTCTACCAGCCTCATTGTATTTTCTCTTCTTTTCTTTCTTTCTTTCTTTCTTTCTTTCTTTCTTTCTTTCTTTCTTTCTTTCTTTCTTTCTTTCTTTCTTTCTTTCTTTCTTTCTTTCTTCCT